GAAAGATCGAGAGGCTAAGAGAATTGGATTCGCTTCTTGAAGTTCTGTGGGTTGAAATAGGGGGGCCAAAAGGAAACTTAACACTGGGAGTTTGTTATCGCCCACCGGATCAAAAGATAGAGGAGGATTATAAAATGATGAATGAATTAAAGACAGCAGCTAGACAAAAACACTGTGTCGTAATAGGTGATTTTGACTACCCACACATTGATTGGGTCAATATGTGTTCTAGTCGAGAAAAAGAGATTGAGTTTCTAGACACTCTAAATGACTGTGCTATGGAGCAGATGGTCACGGAACCTACCAGGGGAGAGGCGATCCTTGATTTGGTCCTAAGTAACACTCAAGACCTGGTGAGAGATGTAAAAGTGATTGCACCGCTTGGGAACAGTGATCATAATGTTGTTGAGTTCAACATTTGTACAAATAGGGAATTGGCCAAAAAGACTCACACAACCACTTTTAACTTTAAAAGGGGTAATTTTTCTGATATGAGGGGACATGTGGGGAGGAAACTGAAGGGAAAAGTAGAAAGGGTCAAAACCATTGGGGAAGCTTGGAAACTGTTTAAAACTACAATTCTAGAAGCTCAAATAAAATATATTCCGCAGGTTAGGAAAGGCACAAACAGGTATAAGAAAAAGCCTACATGGTTAACAAACAAAGTAATGGAAGCTGTAAAAGGTAAAAAGGATTCCTTTAAGCGGTGGAAAGCTAGTCACAGTGAGGCTGATAAAACAGAACACAGGCTATGGCAAATAAAATGCAAGTCTGTGGTCAGGCATGCAAAAAGGGAATATGAGGAGCATATAGCAAAAAATGTAAAGACCAACAATAAAACTTTCTTCAAATACATTAGAAACAGGAAACCAGCCAGGGAGGCAGTGGGGCCCTTGGATGACCAAGGGGTAAAAGGAGTACTGAAGGATGATAGGGAAATGGCTGAGAAGCTAAATGCATTTTTTGCCTCCGTCTTCACTGTGGAAGATGAGAGGTGCTTGCCCACTCCAGAGCCGCTGAGTTCGGGAGGGGTGTTGAAAGACCTGAGTCAGATTGAGGTGACGAGAGAGGAGGTCCTAAAACTGATAAACAACTTAAAAACTGATAAATCACCAGGCCCAGATGGCATACATCCAAGAGTTCTGAAAGAACTCAATTGTGAACTTGTGGATCTCCTGACAAAAATATGTAATCTCTCCTTAAAATCAGCCTCCATTCCTGAGGACTGGAAGGTAGCTAATGTCACTCCCATCTTTAAAAAGGGTTCCAGAGGAGATCCGGGAAATTACAGGCCTGTCAGTCTGACGTCGATACCGGGTAAATTGGTGGAAACCATTATTAAGGAAAGAATTAGTAGGCACATAGATGAACAAAACCTATTGAGGCAGACTCAACATGGGTTCTGTAAGGGAAGATCTTGTCTCACTAACCTGTTAATGTTCTTTGAGGGGGTGAACAAACATGTGGACAAGGGGGATCCAATAGATATTGTTTACCTTGACTTCCAGAAAGCTTTTGATAAAGTTCCTCATCAAAGGCTCCTAAGCAAGCTCAAAAATCATGGGATAAAAGGACAAGTCCTTTTATGGATCAAAAACTGGCTAATTAATAGAAAACAGAGAGTGAGTATAAATGGGCAGTTCTCCCAGTGGAGGGGTGTAAGCAGTGGGGTACCACAGGGATCAGTACTTGGTCCACTGCTTTTTAACTTGTTCATTAATGATTTGGAGTTGGGAGTAAGCAGTGAAGTGGCTAAATTTGCGGATGATACGAAGTTGTTCAGGGTGGTGAAAACCAGTGAGGATTGTGAGGCACTCCAAAGGGATCTGTCAAAGTTGGGCGAGTGGGCGTCAACATGGCAAATGGGGTTCAATGTGGCCAAGTGCAAGGTGATGCACATTGGAGCCAAAAATCCTAACTATAAATACACGTTGATGGGGTCTGAACTGGCAGAGACAGATCAAGAGAGAGATCTTGGAGTTGTAGTAGATAACTCACTGAAAATGTCGAGACAGTGTGTGACTGCAATAAAGAAGGCCAATGCTATGCTGGGGATTATTAGGAAGGGTATTGTAAACAGATCAGCCAATATCATAATGCCGCTATATAAATCAATGGTGCGACCTCATCTGGAATACTGTGTGCAATTCTGGTCACCACACCTTAAAAAGGATATTATAGCTTTGGAAAAAGTGCAGAAAAGAGCAACTCGAATGATAAAAGGGTTGGAACACTTTCCCTATGAGGAACGGTTAAGATAGGCATATGGAGCAGAGGTCCATCAGTGGCTATTAGCCACAAGGTATAGATAGGGACTTTGGGGCAAGTGATGCTCTGTCTTCTTGGTGCTTGGGGGGGGGTCAACAGTGGGAGGGCTTCTAATGTCCTGGCCCCACTGGTGGACCTCCTGATGGCACTGGTATTTCTGGCCACTGTGTGACACAGAGTGTTGGACTGGATGGGCCTTTGGCCTGATCCAACATTGGCGTCTCTTATGTTCTTATGTTCTTACCCATCAGTTTGGAAGCCTGACGCAAGCACAGCATTGCCTCGTATGCATCTCGACCGCAGGAGATGAACAGCCAGTGCCCGGTGGAGTATTGGACCAGGATCAGGGAGGACTCGGGTTACAATCTCCACACTGTCTCAAAACTTGTTAAGTGACTGGGAGCCAATCATATGCTTTCACGCTAATATCCTTTGCAGGGCTGTTGTGAGGATAAAACGGGGAGACCTACTTATGCCATCCTGAGCTCCTTGGATGAAGGGCAGGGCTAAAAGGTACTAGATGGATAGGAAAGCGCTTTAAATCAGACGTGGAACTTCGTGTTTAGGCCTCCCCCTTATGTTGTGCAGGTGATCCATGGTAAGGCCACTTTTTTCTAGGGTTGCCAGCTCTGGCTTGGGAAATTCCTGGAGATTTGGGCCCAGGGAGAATGAAGTCTGGGGAGGGGAAGGAGCTCACTGGGGATGTAATACAGTCCGCCCTCCAAAGCTGCCCTTTTGTCCAGGAGAACAGATCCCTGCAGTCTGGAGATCGTTCTAACCCTGGGAGAACTCCAGGCCCAGCCTGGGGGTTGGCAACCTTACTCTTTCCTGCCCTTCCAGTACTAATCTCTCATTCCTCGACTTTCTTATTTCAAAATTCTCTGAAAACATTGGTTCCTGGAAGAAGAAGAAGGATTCAGGTGTGCAAGGAAAGGAGACGATACACGTGAATGAGGTGGCCAGCTCTGGGTTGGGGAAGTCCTGGATATTTAGGGGGTGGAGCCTGGGGAGGGCAGGGTTTGGAGAGGGGAGGGACCTCAGCAGAGTATAACGCCATAGAGTCCACCCTCCAAAGCAGCCATTTTCTCCAGGGGAGCTGATCTTGGTCATCTGGAGATCAATCATAATAGTGGGAATCTTCCCGCGCAACCTTGGGTGCTTTCAGTACTGTTATCTGATTCAAATGCCGATGGACTGATAACAGCTAACGTGGTGCGGTTCCTGGCTAAGGTGGCTGCTCTCAAGAAACATTGAAAATTTCAGCACTTCTGAAAACTCCGACACCGACTTTTAATCTTCGGATGATTTTAGTCAGTTGGCTCCGCCCCAAGTGTAGTTAGGTAATTTTTAATCTCTGGGCACCAGCCTGGGTTTTATGTGACTGTGATTATGTACCTTGACTCATGTTATGTCTATTTTATGTACTTATTTTATTCCCCTTTTGTGTCCTCTTGATCAAGACTTCAGTCATATAGACCTGTAATAAATTGAAATAGAAATAATAGTGGGAGATCTCCAGGAGCCACCTGGTGGTTGGCAGCCCGACACTTGAAAGAACTTTGTGTCATTTATTCTGGTAGCAGAATCGCCACTTTCTTTTTTTGTGTGTTTGTGTGTGTGTGTGTGTGTGCGCTTGTGTGCCTGGAAGTCATGTTGACTTCTGGCGACCCTCAATGAAGCGAGGATATTTCAGAGAGGTAGCTTGAAATTTGCCTGCTTCTGCATCCCAGTCCTGGTATTCCTTGGAGGTCTCCCATCCAAGGACTTGCCAGGGTCGACCCTGCTTAGCTTCCGAGAGCTGACGAGATCGGGCTTGCCTAGACTATCCAGGTCAGGGCAGAATCTCCTAAATTTCTTGTGAGAAATAAGAATAGAGATTTTGAGCAGAAAGCTTAGAGGTCTCTTGCTTCACGCTGAATAGTAATCAATTTTATTCCTAAACGCTGAAAGATTAAGCCTGCTTGCTTTGCAGTAGAATTTAGAGGTTGAAGATATCGAAACTACACAGCATGAGGAGACAAACAACTAAAATCGAAAGGTGTTTGATAAAAAGTGGAAGTCCTAAAGGCAGGGCTCTTTTTGTAGAAAAAGCCCAGCAGGAACCTATTAGCATAATAGGCCACACCCAACAGCAGGAACTCATTAGCATATTTGGCCACACCCCTGGCAGCACAGCTCATTAGCACATTAGGCCCCACCCCCATGTTACCAGAAGTGTGGTCATCCAGCCACACCCACCTTTTGCTCCTTATTCTGTTTACCTTGTTTGTTGTCAAAGCCCTGGGCTTTTTTTTGTAGCAGGAAGTCCTTTGCATGTGATTGGAGTTGTGAGTTCTGGTTGTCAGGCAATGACAGGCAAGACAGGGTTTGTTTAATTTTTTTGCGTTCGGTAGTAGTTATGTATTTAAGATTGAGCTGTTGAATCAATAGGTGTTCAGTTCTTTCGAGCTGTACACCCACGCTTGCAAGAGTGTAATCAAGAAAAGATTATTCTGCTTCACTGAAAAGGTCTGTCTCCAGAAGTTCTTTCTTGGTAAGAACAAATACGTTTCTGACATTTCTCGATGCAGAGCTTAGAGTTTGGAAAACGCAGGACGGATAAAACCATTTTGATGCCATGTGGAAGTGTTGATTCCTTCCACAGCCTACAATTGACTGAATCAGGCCCCACTTCCCTTGGTTGCAACATGGGAGCATTTCCCTTTTATTGAGTCATTTCTTTGCCATTGCAGCGCAAAGAAGTTTCTCACAAGGATCAGCTGGAATGAGACGAAAATGCAGACTTCCAATGCATTTCCCCACGATAAGGTAGGTAATGTCCAATAGTAAGGAACTGGGGTCTTTTCGTAGAAAAAGAGGTGCTGGAGCTAATTAGCATAACTCATTAGCATAACTGATTTGTATATGTCATACCCCCTGGCATCTCCGGGAGCTACCGTACAACAAGCATGAAAATAGAGATCAAGTTAGCATTGCTATTTATTTTTGTGATAGTTGCTATACAAAGTCTCCTGTGTTCAGCTTTTTAAAGTCCAGTTTTCTTAGAAGGGCAAATTAGCATTGACCTTTGCTATATATGAGTGGGTTTGTTTGTTTTGTAAAGGGAAGTTACATTCTAACCCTAACCTGACCCCTTGAAAGAGAGGTGTGCCTAAAACAGATTTACACACTTTATAATAACATTAAATAATATTAAATAAATAACCAAGTTGCCTTCTTCAAGTGAACACACACATAAGGAAAAATCTTATGTACAACTTGAGATGGGGTCAAAAAAGAGCTAGAAATGTTGTAGTTCTGTTGTAGTTTTTGTGTATCTTGACTGCTTTCAACCTCCAGTAAAGATGTATAAAAACTAAAATAGTCTTTGTAATGGATATATATGAAATATTTTTAAAATGAACGAAGGTGACAAACAGTCAAAGGGACATTTACAAAGTTGGGACAGTTTTCTTTATATTATCACCACTCTTTCTATATCATTATTTGATAAAGAGCAAAAGAAAATCATAATCACAAAGTGTGGTGATGCAAACTGCTTTCAGATGAAGACGTATTACTGTTTAAACCAGTACTTAGAAAAAGACCCATAATGATAGTATCTGCCCCCCCAGCCCATTTCCTCATCCTCCTCCACATTTCCAAGCCCAGTCAGGTGCAGAGATTTTGGGGGGCGGGGAGGCTAATGCAAGGAAGTCTACTCTCCAATGTAGTCATTTCCTCCAGGGTGATGCTCTGTATTCTTGGTGCTTGGGGGGCAACACTGGGAGGGCTTCTGGAGTTCTGGTCCTGCTGGTGGACCTCCTTATGGCACCTGGGTTTGGGCCACTGTGTGACACAGAGTGTTGGACTGGATGGGCCACTGGCCTGACCCAACATGACTTATCTTATGTTCTAACTCAGTGTGCTGCAGCATAGAAAAAAAGTAAAACTCTTAAGGTAGGGATAATTAGGAAAGGGATTGAGAATGAAACAGCTGAGATTGTAATGCCCCTGTATAGATCTATGGGGTGGATCTGTTGTATGTAACAGTGGTCACGGAGGGTGTGGAGGGGGAGGTATTTGAGTATTTCTTGCATTGTGCAGGGGGTTGGATTAGATGACCCTGGAGGTCCCTTCCAGCTCTATGATTCTATGACTGTGATTTGTATTAACCCGTTATGATGAACTCCTGTATCTCCCTAACTGTCTAGCAGATTTTCTCTGTCAAATCTTCAGTTCCCCTCAGTGACTGAGTTGCCCTACAGTAGCATGTATAAATTCCTTGTCATAAAAGACTTGACTGTCCCACCCTATGTTTGAGATTTTTAATTTAGGCTTTTTCTCAGCTCAGGAACTCTACTCAAAATACAGGAGCTGTCTAGTTTTCTTTAAACCCTTGTGAAATGGCACTCCCCTCCCTCCCTCCCTTGCTAAAATAGCCCTAGTTAGGGTTGCCAGGTTCCTCCTGGCCATCTCTGGGAGATGAGGGGAGGGGTGGCCCAGTCCCGGTTAGGAAACTCATGTAGATTTGGGAATGGAGTCTGGGGAGGACAGGGATCTCAGTGGGGCACAATGCCATAGAGTCCACCCTCCAGAACATCATTTTGCCCCCCAGGGAAACTGATTTCTTTAGACTGGAAATGAGCTGTAATTCAGGGGATCCCCAGGT